CAAGCACAAGTTAAAAGTAATCCATAATTACAAATAGGAATTGAATGCAAAATCAACCAATGGCAGAAAGACAAAGTACATATGGTCTCAATGACCAAACAAGTGATCTCGAGTTACTAACCCGCAAGAAACTACCTAGTGCGCACTATATGTTGTAGAGGGAACTCTCATCCTCCGTACTAGAGACATACTCTAGCCTTAACATATTATAATGTCCATACCAACTTTCCAAAAATCATTAAATTATGCAACAAGTATATCACATATACACAATGCACATTGTCAATTACCATGCACAACCAAGTCGTGGAATACACAAAAGATATGCTCTAGGCCTTCAAACTACAATGTCATATTAAATATCATACAAGTATAATGTGTATGCAACAAGTTAAATCATAACTTCTACTCATAGAATACCATCTTGTAATCATACACCAAGTTGCAAATTATAAATTAAGTAAAAATATAACATCAACACTTAATTACCTCAATGAAAGCATACAAATGAAATTTAATTAAATTAAATAATTAAATTCTCAAGATTACAAAGCAACTCCAAGAATCCTAAATATAATATATGTCAAAGGTCATAGCAAGGCCTAATTTAATTACAAGTTACAAACCAATTCTACCTTAGTTACAACAAGGTAAATTAAGATCAATGCCAAGAAAATAATTAAATAAATTTCTCAAAACTCTTTCAAATATTCTCAATTTAATATATATGATAGAATATGCCAAGCTCATCAATAATATCAAGTCAGAAATCCAATTAAGTTATTAGAACGCTTAGAGTAAAATTAATTAATCTATTTAATTAATTTTCTCTAGATTTTAAAACAATTCCAAATGTCCTCAAATTCACATATGTTAAAGAACATACTTAAACCTAATTTAATATCACATTACAAGTTGATTCCATACTAGTTACAACCATGTGAATTAAATTTTCATTCAAGTGAAAGATTAATTAAAAGTTGCATTACTTATTCAAATCCTTCTAATTTAATATATGTTAACAAGCATATCAAGGCTTAATTTAATAGCATGCTACAATTTAATTCCAAGCTATATACAACCATGAAAATTGAATCTTAAACATAGAAAATAATTAAATTAAATTCTAGAATTAATACAAAGGCATGCTCAAAAGTTGTATATGCTTATAAAACCATCAATTCAACACATATTTAAACCTAAAACATCCCCTACCTCAATTTAAGATGAAATTATAAATCACCGCCGAAACAAAAATGCTCCGAATCTGATGACACTTCGGGGTTTTGTCGGGAACAACGCCATAAACATTAAACTCCAAAGAGGATCTACCAAAATCCTAACTTGACCTTAAACCTGAACTCAAAAATTGGCCAAAAGCGAGTTCTAATAAGGGGGAAAGGTGCGCGTCGTCAAGGCTTTCGATAAACGCTAAGGCACTACGACACTTTACCTAAGGGAAGAAGGTTAATCTGGGAAAAGAGGGGTGGCAGCCATGGAAGGGCTGTGGAATCTGGTCCAGTACGTGTGGAGAAGAAGAGGAAAATTATGTTTTAATTTTTCAAACCCCCTATTTATAGAAAATCTCAAAAAAATGCCCCAAACGGGTCCCGCCGGGTTCGGAAAAGTGAAATTTGAGTAGACGCGCTCAAACGGCAAAACTCCAAGAACAAAAAAGAACCAAAATAAGAAAATATGAATAATGGAAGAAACGGCGTCGAAAACTGAGTCCCGAGCACAGAGATATGCCCCAAACAAGTTTGACGTTAACTTGGGCCGAAAACCCAAAAACTGTACGGTTTGACCACAAGACAATTCTTAGAGTATACGACTCGACGAAATGTAAAAATGAATCTCGTACGAGGATTCAGGTTCAAACGAGGTATTTTGTAATAACTTTCGTTAATTGCACAATGGCCCCTACAAAAAGGGATAACTGCAAAACTGTCCAGAATGAAAATATCTTCCAAAAGATATTTTTCTTAAAAATCCCGGAAATAAAATACCTCCAAAAGATATTTATGAAAAATACCCCAAGAAACAAAAATGTTTTTGAAGAACTTTGCATCCATACCCCTATGGACACTAGGAGCAACCAGAGTGCTTTCCTACAAAAGTAAAGATACGTATTTCGTGGAAACCACTTAGGATGAAGGTTCATGAAGTCAAAACTCAACTCTGAACACGAAAAGTGAGGTTATGCTAACAAAGTGACAAACGGGGAAAAGGACGAAAAGTGTATAATGTCGAAAAACAAAAAATGTGGAAATGATATGGTCCTTTAAGGAAATTGTGAATCCAAGGGAAAGAATCTTGGAAACCATTTCCGAGGGCTCGAGACTACACTAAGTGATGAGTAACCTTACTCAGAAAGGAAAATCAACAGAAAAAATTTATCCGTATAAATCTGAGAAAAAGGAAATGAAGGAAAATGACCGTGTCATTATAATGGGATTCTATAAGAAGAATAGAATTTGATTCCTCCTAGAGCTTATCATCAGAACATCATGACTGAGTTGAATCTCCATGATCTAAACAAGTCTAAGACTGCTAGGGAGAATGCAAGAAAGGCATAGAAAGGCTCAGATGAAACATCATCTGAAATTCTGGATTCCAACAAGCTATTTTCTTTGAAAGGAAATTTCTCGAGAGATGATGCTAACTTGATGTAATCTTCACTTATTCAGCATCAGAATGCTTTGTTTGAAAGGGTTATGGATGAGAAACGAGATCTCAAGGGAGAGGTGAAGATGCTTTGAATTCAACAGTCAGGTGGTTCTACAGAAGATGTTTACAGACTTGCACTTCCAGAGACATCAATGAGATGAAGATGTGTGATGATGATGATGATGATGATGATGATGATGATGGTGATGATGTGATGACCACTACTATTCTGTTTGATGGAGATGATCTTGATGATTAATTGTCTATATTGATTATCAGTTATCTTTTGGATTTTTATTTTTGCTTATGATGGTATGCTTTCATGTTCGTATAATCTTATGCATCATGTTTTTGTCTTCTCTATCATTTTTCTCTTTGTCAATTTGTTCCAAAAAGGGGGATAGATATCTATGTTATATCTATGTTAAATTTAGGGGGAGTTTATATATTTTTTATATTAAACCTTCACTTATAGTTTTGCTTGATCATTGTGCAGAAAATCATGTGAACTTTCACTCAAGTAAAAATGAAAAGAATAGAAGATATTCAAGAGAAATAAAATTTTGATTTTTTTAACAAATTGTAATTTGTTTTTTCTGCTTGGGTAGATTATATTTATTTTTAGGGTTTTGACACAAAATTTCCAAAAAGGGAGATTGTGAGATATATATTTTGTAATTGGCTAATTTTGATGTCAAAACAAGTCCGATTGAGTTGCATTTCGAAGTTTAAAATTCAATATCGAGATTGGTTGCGGAACTGAAGAGTTGTCCGTGTTTAATAGTATGAAGTCTAAGAAAAGGTAAGAACAACACTTTAGGAAGTTGAGTTAGAAGGTTAGGACACTTGCATGCACGAGTTATTTTTCAAAACTGCAAAAAGTTTAAGTGTTAACCTTCAATTCAAGTCTGGCTAACTTGAACCAGTTTCACGCTGCTGAACTGGTTAAAGATTCAATACATCAAAATTTTCAAACACTACCCAACTTGAACCGGTTCAGGAAACCGGTTCAAGGACTTCAGAAATTTTTGGTAACTTAGTTTCTTGATCTGTTTAAACTTCCTATTTGGTATAGACTTCTTTCTAAAAACCTGTGCATGAATTTAACTTCTTTTCCAAGTATATCTAGGTTTTTGAAAGTCTATGTAAACATGTCTTCTCATCTAGGTTGGTGTTACTTTTTGAATTAAACTTATGATTTATTTAAAAGCCTTTTTGTGAGATTTTTAAGAGCATACACACTATATATACACAAGTGATTTTAGAGTGTTGTTCAAATCTTGATCATGTTCAAGTCTATTAAATATTGCATTTGAAATGAGCAGAGAAAGCAGATCTATTCATTCTTCATCAAATTTAGATCTGAAGAAAAGGGGTGAAGCGATCACACTTTGAAGAGGTTAAAGCCTTCGTGGAGTGTTGTTTGATCTATAAGCAATCATTCTACAAAGATCAAGTGTAAGTTTGAGGTCAAGAGCTGTTGGATGGGGGAGTCACATAGTCAAGGATTGTCAATGATTGATTTTTGGTAGAACGATAAAGTGTGAGCTTGAGTCAAAATTCATTATACTTTGCTTCAAACATAATGGATTGCTTCAAACATAATGTTTTTTCTCACAACGATTGGTTTCTTTTGCCAATCGAGGTTTCCTCGCTAAAAATCCTAGTGTCATCTCTACACTTTACTCACTTTTATCTTACATGTGATTGTTTAATTAATCAGGTAACTTTAGTAGAATTAATTGAATAGAGAAGCACGAGATCAAATCCTCTCTAGATACAAAAATAAACTTTCCACAATATATTCTGCTACACATCTTATAATATGCACTATAAATATACTATAAGGGTGTTTTCTGCACTTGACGCAAAAATTTATGAATGGACGGAGATTGAGCTTACTTTCACTAGTCAAATTTTTATGGCACCAAGGACCTTGCGGCCTAGTGATATCACCTCTACCTTCTAAAGTAGATGGTAAGAGTTCATGTCTCCAAAAGAATAAAGTGGTGTGTGTTTCTTGACAATAAAATAATAATAATAATAATAATAATAAATAAATAAATAAATAATAAAAAATTTATGGCGAAAGGTGCCAACTTAGCAGGTAAAATCTTTTTATTTTTAAGTTTTGTTACGACATAGAGGAACTACATGACCAAGCTCTGCTACTATAACTTTATGGGTCAAGTAGCAAGTCTCTTTATTTAGTTAAAAAGGATAAGCAATAGTCCAACATTGTGGCGGCTGGTGAGGAGGTTGAGTGCGTACATGTGTATATACATGTGTGTGCGTGAGAGAGAGAGAGAGAGAGAGAAAAAAAATGGTCACCATATGTAATTATGATATTTTCATAGACACTGATGTTTATGTGGAGTCGCACTGCTTTAAATAAATGGTGAGCAATTGCTACCATTTTCGTCCATGGGTTTCCGAAATTTAGGCATATGTATTCGGTCATTTTGGAGATGCTTGCCAATTTAAATAAACCTTTAACCATCAATTCCTCTCTCTCTTTAACTTTCATTGCTCTAAAAGTCTCTTCCTCCTTCCAAATCTTTGAGCTTGAAACCTAAGAAAACCAAAAACTGAAGCCTCAATAGGCTCTTCAAAACATGGTGGATGAACAGGAAAAACCTCATGCAATCTTTGTAGCCTATCCACTTCAAGGCCATTTAATCCCATCCGTCCATCTAGCCATCATACTGGCATCAAGAGGTTTCACCATTACCTTCATCAACACCCACTTCATACACCAGCAAACATCCAAATCCGAGCCTGACAACGATCACGATATCTTCGCAAGAGTCCGGCAATCCGGCCTTGACATCCGTTACCTCACCGTTTCCGACGGCCTCCCTCTCGAGTTCGACCGCTCGCTCAACCATGACCAGTTCATGGCTGCCTTGTTGCACGTGTTCTCCGCCCACGTAGAGGAGGCAGTGGCAAAGATTGTGAAGTCAGAACAGGCGGTGAATTGTTTGATAGCGGATACGTTCTTCGTGTGGCCTTCGAAGACGGCCAAGAAGTTTGGACTCAAATATATTTCTTTCTGGACAGAACCTGCCTTGGTTTTCGCACTGTATTATCATGTGGATCTTCTGAGGAAAAACTGCCACTTTGATTGCTATGGTAAGTCAACTCTCTCACTCTCTTTCTTTCACACACGCAACCAAAGAAAAAATAACAAAAGAGAAATATATTGATCTTCTTCCTGTCCAAAATTGCTAAATAGGGATTCTAAGGATGGATGGGATCCCGAAAAATTTTCCTGCCTTCTTTGGTTACCATCACCATAACATTGTTAAATTTAATGATGTCACGATCATGTCACTTTTTACTTTCATAAATTTAGTAGGATGAGTTCAACCCTCAAAATCAGTATTCTAACTCAGAAAAATAAAATAAACAACTAATTAAGATACCATGCTATCTAACATTTTCAATACATTTAAGTGGTAAGAATACAGATAGCTCCTCCCAAAAATAAGGACCTAAAGATAAACCAATCGAAACCTACTCTGTTCGAGGATGTATTGGAATCACAATAATTATGGACTGAAATTATTAAAGGGTGGAGGACAAATCATTATTCGTGTCATAAATGGTTCCTATAATTAACATAAGTTTTTGGGTTAATTTTATAGGATTATAGGGAGGGGTGGAGTCAGTGTGTCAATGTATGCTCGCCCCTGGTGTGGCCTTATATACTATAATACGTATATTAAATTTATTTATTTTTATATGTATATGTGAAAAAATTTATATAATGTCATTCCTAAAATTTTTATTTTTTAAAATTATTTCTTGTATTTTTTCTCTTTTTATTCTTTATATTTATTTAATTCCGTTAAAAAAAAAAGTCAATTTTTCCTTTTTGAATCAAAATTTATTTTTTTTTTCCTTTCAAAGTTCTCTTATTATTATTTTTTATTTTTTATTTATTTATTTTTTTGTTAACTATTTATCTTTTTTAAATGACTTATTAATTAATTGACATATTATTTTGAGTAATTTTTTTTTTCTTTAAATTTGAAGAATCTATATTAATTATCATATTTATTATTATTATTTTTTTACACTTTGTCCCGTTGGCATTTATATTTAATTTCTGACTCCGCACTTGATTAGAGTAGATTTTCATTATCAAATGCAAACTGTTGGACCCTCCAATTCTGTAATTAATTTATCAAATTTTGAATAATGAAATTATACGCTATAGATTTTTATTTTCATAAATGGATAGATGCTATGCATTATAAGGGGATGTGAAATGACGCTCTCTCCATGCAATAATCGTATAAAAATCTCAGTTTATCCCATCTTGAACATGGACTGTAAATATCTTGAACATGGACCGTAAATATCCAAAAGACTGTAAATAGAAAATTCACCAAAACGCATTTGCTTGACATCATTTTGGATGGTGTGTGGCAGTGTGTAGCAATTAATTAACTTATCGTCTTGGTAGTTGGAACACGTTTACTTCCATCTCACATGGATAGGATAAAATATTGAATAAAATATATATCAAGAGGTCGGCGGCTTCAAGCCTCAAGGAAGATGACTCAAACTTAGTTGGTCATTATTGACCATCTCATCTTCTACTTTTTAGGTTTTCTTACTCTTTATTTTTTGACAAATGAACCTCAGTTTTATTTTATTTGGAGTCGACGTACGTTAGTCACTTAAACCGCATTTTCTTATTCGTGGTATTAAAAACTAAATGAATAAATTGTACTCAGATACACGCGAGGACACCATATATTACATTCCGGGAGTTCGAGAAATCAATCCGACGGACACAACGTCGTATCTACAAGAAACGGATACATCATCGGTGTGCCATCAGATCATCTTCAACGCATTCAAGGATGTTAGGGGTGCAGATTTTGTTCTATGCAACACGGTGCAAGAACTCGAATCCGACACCATCTCAGCTCTACAGGCCGAAATGCCATTCTATGCCGTGGGACCCATCTTCCCAACTGGGTTCACCAAGAGCACTGTAGCCACCAGCCTGTGGTCCGAGTCGGACTGCACCGAATGGCTCAAGACCAAGCCTCATGGCTCAGTTCTGTATGTGTCCTTTGGTAGCTATGCTCATGTCACCAAAAATGATCTCGAGCAGATAGCACAAGGTCTGTTACTAAGCAAAGTTAGTTTTCTTTGGGTGCTCCGTGCTGACATCGTGAGCTCCGACGACGTGGATCCGCTGCCGGCTGGATTTAAGGAGGAGATGGGCGACCGTGCCATGATCGTACCTTGGTGCTGCCAGATACAGGTGTTGGCACACCCAGCCATCGGAGGGTTCTTGACTCACTGCGGATGGAACTCAACATTGGAAAGCATTTGGTGTGAAGTTCCTTTGTTATGTTTTCCACTCTACACCGACCAATTCACTAACAGAAAACTAGTGGTGGATGATTGGAAGGTTGGTATCAATCTCATTGACAAAAAGCCAATCAAGAGGGAGGAAGTGTCTGAGAAGATCAACCGTCTGATGAGTGGAAAATCAGGGGATAATTTCAAGAAGGAGATCAAAGAGGTGAAAAAGAAACTGGAAAATGCAGTGACAGATGGATCATCACATAAAAATTTTGATCAGTTCATCAGGGATCTAAAGAATAGCATTCAAAACAAAAGTGGAGATATCGGAGTGCAAAAACATAATTCTTTGTCCAATGGCAGTTAACTTGGTGTTCCATATTTGTCAATGGTCGTAATTAATAATAGGGCCGGTTTGTTCCCCGTCACTAAAATCAATCACTATGGTTTGCTGTCAAGTCCCTTATTTTTTCCCTTTAAACAGAATAGATAACATCAAGGATCATGTTTGAAGGTTTGTCTTTATTATGAAGTGGAGCACTAAAGATATTAATGCATCAATGACGTCCACCTGCATTGCACTAGTGGAAGGCCCAGTTTCTTAGTCAACTCGTCAAGTCTGTGCAGAGTCCACTTATGTTTTGCCAACTGCCTTTTTCTCCATCTAAACATGATCAACAATTCTCTCTAATGCCTCGTTAAGTAGGAAACATGCAACTTGGATAGAAGAGGAAAAAAGAGACATTCGAGCGTAGTGATTGTGCTTGTTAGGGAAAAAGGGAAGTGTGACTTTTAAATTGTTCAATATGTAATTTATGGATGAAAATATTGTAATTTATAATTGGTATAATTTAATAAAATATTGAAATTTAAAATTTATATAATTTAGAATAATATTGAAATTTAAAACTTATATAATAGACCTTCCTGTCTTCATTCCTCACTTCCCTTTATTTTTTAAGGGATGAAAATTTGTAAAGGATGAATGATGATTCATCACTCCTATTTTCCTTTCTCTTATGCTACGTTTGGTGTGCAGGAATGGAATGGAATGCAAGTGGGAATGGAATGAGAATGAGAATGAGAATGGAATGGAATGGTCATTCTCATTCTATTGTTTGGTTGTAAATATGAAATGTGTAGGAATGGAATGATAATAACCATTCTAGTGTTTGGTTGAACCAATTTAAAATTTAGAATGGAATAAATTTTTAATTAAATTCTCCAAAATATCCCTCTTAATAACAAATAGATTAAATTAAATTAACAAAATAATATTCTCTAATAATTTTTTAAAAATAATTGGTGGCAGTGGCGGTGGTGGATGGTGGAAAGTGATAGTAGTGTAGATGGTGGTGTTGGAAGGCAGCGGTGGTGGCAATGCTGGAAATTGGTGGTAGCAGTGGTGGTAGAAGGTGGCAGTGGTGTTGGTAGAAGGCGGTGACAGTAGTGTGGTGGAAGGAGATAGTTGTGTGACTATAGTGGTGTTGGAAGGCGGTGGTGGTGGTGGTGATGGAAGGTGGTGGTGGCGGTGGTGGTGGTGGCGGAAGGTGGTGGTTGTGGCAATGGTGAAAGGCGGTGGCGGTGGTGGTGGCGGTGGTAGAAGGTGGTGGAAGGCGATGGTGGAAGGTGGTGGTGGCGGTGGTGGAAGGTGGTGGTGGCGGTGGCGGTGGCGGTGGTAAAAGGCGGCAGTGGCGGTGGCGGAAGGTGGCGGTGGTGAAAGATGGTGGTGGTTGTTGAAAGGCGGTGGCGGTGGTAGTGAAAGGCGGCGATGGTGGTGTAGGGCTGTGGCAGTGGCGGAAGGTGGTGATGGTAGTGAAAGGCGGTAACAGTGGTGGTGGTGGAAGGTGGTAGCAGTGGTGAAAGGCGATGGCGGCGGTGGTGGTGGAAGGTGGTGAAAGGCAATGGCAGTGGTGGTGTGGAAGGTAGTGGCAGTACCGGTGGTGGTTGCGACAAACGGTGGCTGTAATGGTGGTGAAAGGCGGTGGCGGTGGCGATGGTGGTGGTGAAAAGTGGTGGGCGATGGTGAAAGTCGGTGGTGGTGGAAGACAGTGGTAGTGGTGGTAGTGGTGAAAGGCGGAGATGATTGTGGTGGAAGGTAATGGTGGTTTTTAAACTTGGAATATGAGGGTGTTTTGGGAAGTCAATTTTTTAAATAAATTACTTGGGAATGGAATGGCCATTCCACAGGTTTAGTTGTGGAATGGATTTTCATTTCCAGGAATGAATTTTCATTCCAATGGAATGGCCATTCCCACTTTAAGTTGCATACCAAACAAAGGAATGGTTGGAATGGGCATTCCATTCCATTCCATTCCTGCACACCAAACGTAGCATTATTGTTTTCTCTCTACCGAACGAAAAAAGTTGTTTCTTCCTTCCTATCTTCTCTCTATATCTCTTCATTCCTTCCAACATAACAAACCATAAATATAACAGAACCAGACAATTCATTTTGGTCATAGGTTTTAAGTTTAAAGCAAAATGTACAATATTGGATAGGAACACTTCGATCGGGCCGGCTTGGTTTGTCACATAGAAAATAGTTTTTTGTTTTTATAGAACTGAAAATCAAAAAACTATACTAATACTCTACTTGGTTAAGTTTTCTGAAAACTTCGGTGTAAAAAGGGCATCTTTCAAATAACTATCTTTTATATTTATCCGAAAACAAATTTCTCTTTTTGAGTTTTTGAGATTTGTTTTCTGAGTGACAAGCCAAACAAGCCCTTCCATTATTTGTACATATCCTATTTACACTAGAAAAAGCCACATGCAGTTGAGTGCTATGGCACAAAATTTTAGTTAATAAAACAAACACAAAATTGAGGTACCAAACCTCCATAAGAAATAGGGTAAATTACAATGACCTCCCCTGAGGTTTCGTCAATATACACAGACCTCCCCTCTTGTTTGTCAAATTACATTGACCTCCCCTATGATTGGATGACGTTAACTATTGTTGTGTAATTACAATTATGTCCTTATACATATTGTATTTTATTTCAAAATTTCAAAGACCAAAATGCCCATATGTATTTTATTATTATTTTTTAAGTCATGGAAAAAATAAATAAATAAATAAATTACTTTTCACCTACCATTAAATCTCATTAACTGCTTCTCTCCATCTCCATCTCCATCTCTTCTCACTTCTCCTTATCTTGGTACCTGGGGATGATTTAGGGTTTCTGGTAGCCTACCATCACGACAAGTAAGTATGTGACTAAATGTTCGTGTTTTTCTATCTTCTGCCAAATTCCCTGTATTTATCTTCTACTGAAAATTGTTATTATACAACTACACAATATATATATATATATATATATATATATATATATATATATCTTCTGATATTTACTTTTTTTTTTCTTTTTCTTTTTTTTTTTTACTTGTATGGAACAAACCCAATGTCTTAACATTTTTTTTTTCCCCTTTTTTAACTCTAGGAATTTGGCAGATAATCAATTTCCTTACCAAAACAAATTAATAGTAAAGTTTTCCAAACAAGACCTAATAATATTTAACTAAAGACTAAACATCGAGTTGCAAATCCAAAAAGCATGCTTAAGGTATTTAACAAGGAACGACAACAAACAGTAATAATATAATATTAACGTCAGAGGGTATTGGTGTAATTCCGTTTGAGTAAGTGGGGATATAGTTGTCAAGAAGGGTAATGAAAAGGGCACTATTGTAACTTTCAATAAAAAAAATGTTTACCTCATTGTTGACTGCGTTAACCACTAACAGCCATTAACAGAAAGGAACAAAGTGTTACTAAGATACAAACTTCAAGGGAGGTCATCGTAATTTGGCAAACAAGAGGGGAGGTGTGTGTATATTGACGAAACCTTAGAGGAGGTCAGTGTAATTTACCCTAAGAAATAACATCAACAGATTTTTCCAACATGGAATTACTATTGGGAGAGATTTCATATGTATGTGTAGAGGGAAAATCCCCCACCAACCGAAGCCATACACCTGTGTAAGTGAATAACTAAATGGAAGACACTTGGAGAAGCCTAAAGCAAAAAAGCAAGACCAGGCCCATCAATCTCATAGGCCCACTTCATTTATGGAAAAGTCCAAGCCCAAGAACAAAGCTAACAAATCCTATATGAAGTAGGAAACCATAAACATGTAAATCAAGGAAAATCAATAAGGAAAACAGAGATTTAATAGGAGAGAAAAATAGAGAAGGAAGAAACTCGAGGGATAAAAAATGCGAGTCCTAATCTGTTGGTCCTAGTATTTAATTAGGGTTTGCTCTTTAAATGTCAAAAGTGAGCTCACAGGTCTATTACTATGATATTATATCATTTCTAGTGTGCTCAGGATGATTCTAATATATATATGGGTAGTATAGTCTTTTAACATATGTGAGAGCTCGATTTAAATACAATAAGAAAGGTTCATTGTATCACATATCATGTTACAGGCCAATCATAGTAAGTTTTCAAATGTATTGTGTATTATGGAATCTGTCATTCACAAGGGCATTTTAGTTTTTTCAAGTAAGTGTATGGACGTAATCTGTGTATTTGCCTTAAATGCTCTATTGTTATTTTGTGCTAAGGAAATTACATTTTCAAAGAATTTATAAGGCTACTATACAGATTTCTTGTATATGTTACATTTGTCCACTCGAAAGGTATTTTTGTCTTTTCAATATATATGGTGCACATGGCAGATATGTGTATTGTGGTTCTAGTAAGAGAAAGTTGATGAACCACATTTCATTTCTTTGGTACCAAGTTTGTAATTCCCTCTCTCACCAACTAGTGTGAGTGAGAGTGTGAATGTAGAATGTGTGTGCAGTAGTAGATAAAATGTGTGAGATGTGTAAAGACAAAGTGGTCCATTCATATGAATGTCATAAAATTCCGTCTCCAATAATTGGTAGAATGTGACGCATTCCTATCCATTTTAGGGCTACATCATCACTTATTGATTTAGTATATATATATATCATGTTATAACAGCTCATTTTGAGCTTTTTGAGTGTCTAGAGTGCTGCATTATGTATGTGTCTCAAGGGTTAATATGAACTAGGGGTGGCAAACGGGCAGGTTGGGTCTGATCAAATATGGGCGGGTCAGAAATGAGTTATAGCCCATATTCAACCCGTTTATAACGGGTCAAATATGGGTTGAGTCAAAATGGTTTGGGTCAACCCGCAAGACCCAATGACCCATTTTTATCCCCCCCCCCCCCCTTCTTTTTCTTTTTTCTTTTTTTTTTTTAAAAATATTTTATTATTAATTCCCTCTCATTTTACTAAAAATTGGAAAAAGAAAAAACAATTTAATTATTATTCAAGTGGGTTGAAGGTAAGTAATAAGTTGACAAAACACATTTAATACATATATATTCTTTAATCTTTTTAAATTCTTTATTATTATTATATTATTTTATTAAATTTCAACCTTCAACTCATGTGAATTCAGGTTACAAGATTGACCTTTAGAACTCGACCCATTTTATAAGGCCCGACCCGTTTATAAGATCTAACCACTTGCAAGACCTAACCTGTTTACACAACCACTTAACCTTTAAAACAATTCTACTTATAGAAATTATTGGACCAAGAGGGTGGCGGGGGGAATTGGTCAATTTTAAATCCTTCTTCAACACAGTTGACAACAAATACAAGGAACGTACATAAGGTTTACAAGGAAAATTCTCTCATTAGGGAAAAACCTTGGTTCTTTGCCTCAACCAATATAAGTTGTAACGGCCCGAATTTCAATAACCCAAAATCCTGATCTAATAAATTAACGAGTCACCCGAAATCCTGATCCGGTAACGAGTCCAAAATGTGGAAGTGAAAACAAACAAAAAGGTCACTGGAGACGATACCATCTCTAGGACAATGAAAGAA